ACTTGCGAGGCAAGTGGGCAAAGGCCAGCAGAGCCCATGGGCCATGTAAGATACTCAAGGAATGCCTCCCAGGAAAAAGGAGGGCACAAGCATCCGCGAGGACAGGGATGAAATTCCAGAGGGTGGAAAGGAAACAAGCCAGCAAGAATGCATGCATCAGACGTGGGCGGGGCCAAGTGACCTCTGGGGACCTGCCCAGCCCAGCCCTCAGGTGCTGCTGTAACTCATGAGTGAAAGTAATGTCCTTCCTCTTCCTCTTCCTCTTCCTCTTCCTCTTCCTCCTCCTCCTCCTCCTCCTCCTCCTCCTCTTCTTCTTCTTCTTCTTCTTCTTCTTCTTCTTCTTCTTCTTCTTCAACTTCCTTCTTGGCTTTGGCCTATTTTCCAGTTGGTTTGGGGGACTAGTGACCATGACTTGGCTCTGTCAGCTACAGAAGATCTGGCTTCTTTGAGGCAACTACTACAGGAGAAGGGAAGAGAGGCTTAGGAAGGTAAGGTCCCAGCCACTGGCAGAGCTTTGGAAATTCTGGAGAATTTTCTCGCTGACTGAACAGAAAGAGGAGGAAATGAGGCCTGTAGCTCTCTCTGATACCTTAGTTGAGCTGGAGGACACACAGTATGGAGAGCAACCCCAGAGGCAATGAAGTGGGGAAGAGCAGGCTCGAGGCGCTGTGCCTCTTGCTTGCTGGCGTTGAGTCAGGGGTGTCTCTGCACTGTAGTCTCAGTGGTGACCAATAGCTCCTGCCCTGCCCAGCCGAGGGGGAGATGGAGTAAGGAAACCTGTAAAGAGCTTTCAGAGCACTCTATAATGAAGAAGTACAGAGTCTGCCCCACAGCAGGGAGAAATCCTTCTTTAAGAATATATAGTGGAAGAGAGAGGGAAAAAGTCTGTGGAAGTGGCTAAAACCTGCGAATGAAAACCCACAGTCTCCAAACAGGCGCAGAGGCAGGGAGAAAAGATTCAGTATTGTGATTTCCACACCATGGTGTTTTGGGGGCCCTGGCCTTTACGGAACATGTGTCTCTTTCTCTGTAAACTAAGTATTCCAAAGTAAGAGGTGAAAGATTTCATAGTTTTGAAGTTATGGTCAAAGTAAGAGGTGAAAGATTTCATAGTTTTGAAGTTATGGTCACCCTGAAGCCAAAACAGGAGCAGATTTTTCTATCTAATAAAAATTTAATCCCCCCATCAACACAACTCTCACTTCTGTGGTACTCAGTGATGGTAAGATTTCATGCAATGCTCATGCCTAGTTTTATGATGATATATACCACATTGCTCTTTGCACGGGTTATACATGTGCACTATGAATTCACTGCCTGATACATTCCCACTAGAAATAACACACACCGCAGAAGCAGATCAGCTGAGAAAGACACCAGCAAAAGAAAGATAATTTGAGATACTTCTGAGGTAGCAGTTGTAAAATTAAAATAAGCAACTCATTAAATTACCCATAGAGTGAAAAGAAAGCTACAAAAATAGATATTTCCTGGCAAGTCAGTGCTGTTCGAGAACAAATTTAGTTTTAAGTGGAGTTTTAAAATCAGACAATATCAGCTCGTATTCATTAAAATCATTTAAATGAGTTAGACTAGCTTGTCCCAATTCAAACAAAAAGAATAACCTTTATTGGCCTTTGGTGGAAGAAAATTTATTTAAAGCTATATACACAGACATCATTTTAGCTGGCAGATTGTAAACAATATGATTAAGTGAATGTTATTTGAGCCAATTGGAGCCCAATCTTAGAATCACAGAATTAAAAAATAAAAATTCTATGTGTCATTCTTTAACACTAATTTTCCCTCGTATTGTTGCAATTTTGGTGGCCGCTTCTCCGGTTGTGATTCAGTCTCTGTCTCTGTGTGTCTGTCTGTCTCTCTTTTTGTGTCTACCTGTCTATCTGTCTCCTTTTTTCCCCCTTCTGGATTTTGCTATGTTGTTTCTTACCATACCTTCCCCTAGAGGACAGGCCAGGAAAAGGAAAGCGTCTTAATCCGGCATCTTCTTCCCTTATTAAGAATTTAGATTAGAGATTTGATAGGGAAAGATGCTGGCGAATACATGGAGGAGGAAGCCACGTCTGCCTTATTTCCCCTTTACACTGAGACACACCTGGCAAGCAATATCCTGCAAGCCAATGGCTCGCTGAGCCCAGGGCGCAGGCCTTGGCCATGTGAAGCAGATGATGTTTCCGGCTGACCAGTCCTCTGCCTCAACCAAATGAAAAGGCTGCATGCAAAGAGGGTGTCACAGTGACACCTGCTTGTGGAGTGCCTGCTTCCGGGTTTGCACAGCCGCTAGTCATCCTCTTCTATCCTCCAGAATCTGCTGCCTTGTAGGGCTTGCTAACGGCTATAGACAGGGTACATGCATTTTTATCTGTATTAATATTGATCTACCCCATTGGGGCAGTGACATCAAGCTGAAATCTCACCTAGAGAAATATTAACATGCAAGACCAGGCCCCAGGAGTAGGTTAGTTTACTGCTACACTTTTACATATTCATATTCACATTCTCTCTTCTCTCTCTCTCTCTCTCTCTCTCTCTCTCTCTCTCTCTCTCTCTCTCTCCCTCTCTCTCTCCTCCCCCCTTCCCTCACCCCATCCCCATCACCTTCTGATTTCAAGCAGGGCTATTGAAATTTCCTGCTCAAGAGCTCCGTGTAAATACAGATAAACAGTGGCTGCCAGGTGCTGCGTTCTTAAAGTGACATTCATTTCCACCACTCTCCAGGCGATACCATTTCAGCTTCCGAGTTGAGGAAGATAGAGTGTGCGCGTATGTGTAAGAGCATGACGTGACACTTTTGAGGTTTATTCAAGTTGTTAAAGATCTCGAGGTTACGAGAATTAGACTGCGAAGCATTTTCCCTCCTCGCCTCCTACAGGCACGGAATCTACAATTTTCTCAGTCCCACTGTCAGATAAATTGGCAAGTAGACTAAAAGGATAATATTCCCTTAATGATGCACGCACTGGAAGCCCTAGCAACTGTATTAGCAGCAGCCTTCCTGTCGAGGCGAGGCGCGGGGAGAGGCAACTGCGATTTAGACTGACAGATGATTTTTTCCCATCCGTCGAGCAGCCTCAAAATGTCACAATATTTACACCTCTTCCTTGGTGAATTAGAATCCAGAGAACAGTAGACAGAAAGAAAGACAAGTCCGACCGTTTGCGTCTTGATGGGGAAAAGCGGGCCTTGCACCTTTAAATTCTGCCCCCACCCCCAACCCCCACCCCCTTCCTGGGATTTTGCAATAAATCTCCCCGTTCCGCGTTCAGCCCTGCGGATCCGTATTTAAAACAGCACCATCTGGGAAGGTGGGTGGCGGCGGTGATGCGGGCGCCTTGGAGTTCCTTTGCAGCACGCTCGGAATTGCATCAGACTCATCCGAAATCCCCCCGCCCAGCGCCCCGCCTCGCCGCGCTCGCGCGTGGATCCCACCGAGGCTGGGCCGGACCTGGGCATCTGCGCCCGGCGCCGCAGGCTGCTCCGTCACCGGCCCTGCGCGTTCTTTGTGTGTCGAGCAGCCTATCACAGCCCGCCGATCCGAGAGCCTGGGCTTTCATTATTACTGTTGTTATTATTTTCCCTTTCCAAATTTCCACACTCTGGCGTAGCAGTGCAGCCCTCACTTCCACCTGCGCACACTTGGGGAATCTTTCTTTGCCTGCGCTCGCACCCTCCTCTCCAGTCTGGAGTTTCGGAAATGGGTTTTCCCTTCCTCTCTCGCTCCCTTCTTGCCACCCCACCCTGGGCCCTGGCCTTCCCCAGAGCGGGGCAGAGCCGGGAAGGAGTCCAGATCCACCCATCCCCGTGGTTCCGCAGCCGGAACAAAGGGCCCCATCAGGGTGGGGTGAGCCTGTGGGAGCGCGCGGCGCTGGGTGTCCCCTCCCCCCAAGGGGCGCGCAGGTCCCAGGGCGAGCGAGGCTGAGGCAGGAGGACGCGCCCAGCGCTCGCCAGGCGCTCCGGGTCCTCTGCGCGGGCGCGGGCGCGGGCGGGGGCGGCGTAGGGACGAATGCGAGCGCCCGGATCTCCCCGCCGTGCCTCGCGTCTATACCGCGGCCCCCGCGCCCTGCGCCCTGTGCGCCCGGCCTCGCAAGGCTCAGGACTGCTCCTCCGCCCCCGCCCGCCAGTCCCCGCCCGCCCGGGCCCGCTGCCTGGCTCCTAGTCCGGAAAGGACCTTCCACTTCCGAGCCGAGGCCGCCTTTCCCCGGTTACCCCGACTGGCTCGGACCTGGGCTCAGAGCGGTCTCGGCGGCTCCCCTGTCCCTGGAGAAAGCCGGAGCCCTCCAAGCCAGCGCCCAAAACGCGCGAGGAGGGAGGGCAGAGAGGAAGCAAGAAAAGAAGGAAAGAGAACCCAGAAAGACAGCCAGCCAGGGACGAGAAGACGCGAGAAGAGGACGCGGGAGGGAAGGAGGCAGGAGGAGGGGGCGGGGTGCAGAGGGGGGCGGGAGCGGAGAAGGAATCCTGCTCACTAGAGGAGCCCAAATTACCTTGATTCATTTTGTGTTGGAGATGTAGCTTCACCTCCTTCCCTCGCCCCAACCTCCACCTCCCTCTCCTCACCGCACGCCGCCTCCACCGCCTGATCCTCTATGGTACCAAGTCAGGTTTTAGGAAATCGAAAGGGTGCAAAATCTTCATAATTAGCCATGAATCTACTGTACGCCCCCCCCCATACACACCAGCAAAAAGAACGGGAAAGAGCGAGGGGAAGGGGAGAGAGAGAGATCGTCCATCTGAATCAGATATTTGCAGGTCCAAGTTCACTCAACTCGTGACATCCGCAGGAAGACAGAGGCCCCCCCCCCGTCGCTTTGCCCCGGGGTTCTCACCTACTAGGGCCGTGGAAACTGGCCAAATACCAAGAAAGAGCCCCCTCTCACCCTTTCCCTCGACTTCCTCCCCTCTACCTCACGTCTCTTTCCAAAAACCAGGTATCAAGACAGCCCAGGAATTGAGGATGCAGGGGTCTCCGCCCCGGTGCTTACCTTCTTTGCGGCTTACACCACCCCGGTGGCTAGATCCTGGAGATAAACACTTGCATTTCCCAAAGTTAACCCAGTATACCAACCCGGAGCTTGCAAGAGTCTATTCCAGCCTACACCGCTAGGAAGCCAACTTCAGCGAGCTCAATGAGGGGCACAAAACTGGGGCTCGCTTTCCTAACGCTCCGCTCCAAAATCTGACTCCCTCCAGCCCCACGCTCCGTGTGAGCCAAACCTCAGAAAAGACGCTTTTTAAGGGCGACACGGGGTTGGCTTGACAGCCGGCAAAGGGCTACCTTGGTTCACCACCTTGGACAGATCCACTGGCGCTGTCCAAGGTTCTGAATGAACCCCGCCAGCCTAAATCGCACACCAGGCGCAGCAGGCGGAAAAGGCTATAAATTCTCTAATTAAGTGATACTTGATATTGCTCTACACGGTCTCTTCCACTTCCTTGTGTGTTGTCACGTGTGGATGACTTCGCCAAAGCCACCCTGTTCCTAGTTGATCACATGTTGATGAGACCCTTTTCCAAGGATTACCCGTATGGTTACCGGGGCTATGCACTGCTGACTTATTTCTGTCCCCCTCCCCACTCCCATTCTCACCTAAGCTCGCAGTCCCTACGCCACCGTTACCCCTACACCATCCCTAACCCCAGTCTCTAACAGCATTATTGTTTTAGATGGAAATTAACCCCCTTGCGGATGTCAATTACATGCCCACATATAAATCATGGAATAGCCTCATGCACCACACACGGAAAGGCAACGGGTGAACTAGCAGACCAGCCTCAGCCTCCAGCAGCCACTCTAGCATCTTCACACTCCCCCTCCAGTCCCAAGTTTGCTCCACGCAGTTCCACATCGCTGTGTTAAATCTCAAAGGATTCCCATTAAAGTTGCACTGTGTCAAAGCCCGGCTCCCTCGGCCTGGGCGACTGCTGCTTCTTGGCTTGAGAAGCGCTGGGCTGAGCTTCAGTCTGCCTGTTGTTAAGCAACATGTCAAGATTTCTCAATTAGAATGCAGGGTTTCCTGCTACTCACCATTGTGGCTTTGCTGTCCTGGAGACTCAAGTGTCTTAAGATCTCGTCTCCCCGACAGATGCAGGAAGGTAATGTGTCTCGCTTGAAGTCATCATGTGAGAACTTCGGCTTTGCTCAGTGGATCGCCCACCACTTGGTGTGACTTATGAATCTAATAACCCTTTGCAATATCCGCAAGCTTAAACTCTCAACCACCTTGGCGACTACAGAAGACAAAGCAGCCAACATCCAGGTTGAGAAACCTCTCGGTTTACGCAAACGCCCTCACTGCGCGCGAGAGGCTCGGTTCCCCGTGAGTTCTTACGTGATCCTAATGAATGAGCCAGGTTCCCAGTGCCTGCCCCAGTGCCCGGCTATGGAGCGGGCTTGGCGAGGCTGCGTCCTCGCAGCCCAGAAAGTTCCCAGATGAAGTAAGGACTGGCAGGGGACTCCCTTAAAAATAACCCAGGCTGTGCACCGCTCCCGGCCCCTCGATGGGCTCACACCGGGGCCTCTGGCAATGGTGGGCTGTGCCGGAGAGCCGTCCCTGTCGCCAGGTAAGAGTCCCTTCTCCTCGCTAGGCTAGGGCGGGAGGACCGCGGGGGAACTTGTTGCTCGTCAGCGCCAGCAGGCTACGGCTTTAATCAGAATTCCAGAAAAGCGCAGCGGGGAGGGGGCGCCGGGGGTGGCCGTGGCGACAGCTGTGCGCGCTGTTTGCGTGACCACCGCTCTGTGACTCGCTTGGTAAAAAGGAAACTTCTGAGAAAAGTTCTCGCCCCTCCCCCTCCCCACCATGACTAAGGGTCTCGGGCCGCCGAGGCGGTGACATCCGTGGGGCGGGGGGAGGGACGGGGGGCGGGGGACTTGTCCTCGGGCACTGCGGGATGCGCCTCAGCGCATCAGCCAGGCAACTTTCCCTTTTCCTCCCGGGGACAGATGACTAGGCAAGAGGCTGGGGCGATCCACTAGTTGCCCGCAGGAGCCGTGCACGCCGAGTTGAATGAAGTTCTGAGCCTTTGCTCTAATGGGCTGTGGATTCTCCCGGCGCGGCGCAGAGGCGCGCGGATCCCTGGCGCTCGGGAGGGAATCGAGGCTCCTGCGGCTCGGGTCTGCTTTTCCGCAGCCGCTGCCGCATCCTCAGGGGCTTCCCTGCCACTGCTGTGGGGTGCGGAGCGGGCGCGTCCGCTAGGGACCGCTGACCGAGGCAGGAGGGCCTCGCCCGCCCGCGCTTCCCACCCGCAGCTGCGGAGGCTGAGGAGTGGAGAGGGAGGTAACGTGTGGAAAGTAAGTTGCAAAGGAGAGGATGAACTTCAGAAGAAGAAGTTTTAAAAAAAAAGCACCCTGAAATACTTCCCATCACCCCCGGATGCTAAGTACTCGAGAAAGCCAGCACACGCGAGGGACGCGCCCTCGGAGACCTGGGGGCGACTCGGGAAACCTAGGGGACGAGCGAGGGGCGCTGGCGACGCCGCCCAGGCCCAGCGTGGTGAAGCGCCACCCGAGATCTCCTGGAGGGACGGACGCGCGGCTGCCCGCCCAGTCCTCCGCAACGCGGGCGGAGCCAGGAGCGCAGGGCCGGGAGTCCCCAGCGCTTGCTCTGTGGGTTTCGCTTAGTCGACCAGCGCTGATCTTGCTCTCCACCTCGAGATCCCCCAAGGCGGGAGGCCACGCAGCGTCACAGGCCCTGGCCGCGGCGCTGTTGACTGCCAGGCAGAGGCACAGAGCTCTGCTAACGATGGTGGAGAGCAGGGTCCTTTCCAGCTTCGTTTCTCCATTCTGGTCACAGTCACAGGTGCTGTGTGTGTGAGTGTCATGCGTGCTTCCTGAAGTACCGAAGCCGGAAGTAAAGGATAGGATGTCCAACATGCAAGGCAGCTCCGCAGTCAGGGGCTGCTTCAAGCTCCGGCTCTGGCTCTGCCATTCTCTCATGCTCCGCGGGGCTTCTTTGAGGACCATCAGTTTGACTTCCTAACTGTATACGGGTCTCTGTCCCATGGAATCTCCCTCGGGACCCGGTTACTAATATCAGCAGGAAGTCCAAGGTTGAGTTTATGCATAACTCTATAGATGTGCTTCAAAGCCCATCTGTCTTATCCTTGGTTCCAGCCAAGACACATACATACACACGCTTCCTAGACCTAGCTGGGGACAGTTCTAGACTGGCCAGGCTCCCAGAGATCTGAGGTGGGTCATCATGAAAGAATGACAGATACAGAGTCACCACAGCAACAGTTAGCTCCACTGCTCTTGTTGCCCACAATCAGCCACTTTTGTCCATCCATGAGTTAGCCAGCAGATGTTGCCCTAAGCCTGGGGCTGCTGGCGAAAGCTTCCTCAGAGGTGTTGGGGTACAGGCTCTGTGGGCAATGCAGGCTTCCTGAGAATGCAATGCAAATGCCATTAGTAATTTCCCTTACCTATTGACAAATTCTGCTGGCCTGGGGCAGACTGAAGTCTTGCGCTGACAGAGGGAGATGACCACTGTCCAACATTAGTACTTTCTGTCTTCACCCACATGAGGCACTCGTCTGACTCCATCATCAGTGTCTATGTGGGGCCAATCTGCTACTCCTCAGATATTTGTTCTGGAGTTAATCTCATGGTTTTCTTAGGGGGATACTTGAGGGTTCAGAACAGGAATGTCTGAAAGATCTGTGTTTAACTAGCATGTGACTGCACTGAGAAGCAGTCCCCAAAAAACACTTTGGACCCCTATCCAAAGGCATTGCTAGACTTACAACTTGTGGACCAAGAAGAGGGGCAAGAGTTGTTCTATGATAAGATTTGCAACAGTGAGTTTAGAGCAGGGGGAAAAGATGGCAATAGACGCACGTGGGCACATGTTCTGCCCTCGAGCTCCCAGCGATCAGAAGGCAGGGAAAGCCTCCTCACTTGGTATGCTATCTGCTTTCAGCTCTCTCTACTCAATTATTTCCTTTCTTTTTGGTCCACAAAAATCCAGTACCTAAAATAAGCAAAGGTTGCAGTCATCTTATTTGTTCAAAGAGGTGCCACCCAGCATGCCTGCTTTAATTCCAGTACCACCCAGCATACGGGCTACAATTCCAGCCCTGAGAGCCCTTGTCCTTGAGGTCTCATCATGTTTTTTGACACAGTCCTCACCAACTGTGACATGATTGTCACACTTTTCTAGGTTCATCTGACCCTGTATTCTAAACTGGATGGCAAGCAAATCTTGTGCTCTTTAGCCAAACTTAAAACAGACTGTACAAACACAACCTAGAAAGAAGGATTTTTGCATTTGTGATTTTCACATGTGGATTTTTTTTTCACATGTGGCTTTTTACCAAAGCTGCAGTCACAAAGCTTATCCTTTCTTAGTATCTTTACAAATCTGGGCATTAAAACTTAGGAAAAAGGATTCAGCATTAATAGGAGACCCAGGATTAGGGAGAGAGGAGCAACAAAACAGAAGTCTACCAGCTCAGAAGCGAAAGAGAATTCCTTCTCTTAGAGAACTGAGAAGTGCTCAACATTTCACTTGGGATGCAGCCTACACTCTGGTTTCCTAGTCAGGAATCTTGCACAAGGATGGCTCGGGGCCTCCTTCCTCCCTGTCAAGGCAGATGCGGGTGAGTTCACACTCTTGCTCTCTCCTCTATGCGTTGTTACTTGGTTGCAGTCAGTTGCCTCACCTCCCTCCCACCTTGTATTTGGTGGCTGGTCTCCTCCTTTCTCTCTTCTGCTTCAGTACTGAACCTGTGGCAGGCACTTTGGTAAGGGAGAGTGACCCACACATTAGTAGTTCTGTAGAGGCTCCCAGAATCTCAGAGATGAGTTTTTGGGGAATTATTGCCAAGACTTTAACAGTGTCCACTTCCCCTCCCTGGGCCTCCCCCTCCCTGGGCCTTCCCCTCCCTGGGCCTCCCCTCCCTGGGCCTCCCCTACCCCTGGTCACTATCTGAGGGTCACTTGTTACAACCAGTGCAGAAGTGGCTTGAGATGGGGCGAAACTGCTGTCTTGGAGCCTAAAAAGCAGGTAACAGAGAATGCCTGTCTGTGATACAAGAACGGTTCTGACCAGGTAGGAAGAAAGGCAGGCTCTTAGTCACTTCCTGATCTCTGATCATTCTCTGCAGGCAATGGGAGGAGAGGCAAAGAATCACGACGCACAATTTGGAAAGCTTTCTGAAAATAAGAATAGGCAATGATTGCCAAGAACCTGGTGTTGAGCTCATATTTAAAAAGAACTCAAGGAATCTTCCATCCACCAAACCTAGTTTAGCTTTAAAGGAAACCATACAAGCATCAAAAAGAAGCAAGTGTGAGAAGGGCTCAGGGAACACATGACTTGGTCTGCACGAATCTCTGTGTGTTCCTGGGCTCGACACCTGAGCACACGATCTGAGTGAGACTTAACTTGGTTCCAGAAAACCAGACAGCCCAGGAGTGGGCTGAAGGAGACCCGCATGCAGTGCTGAGGAAGGCCTGGGTGGCTCTTCCT